CAATTTACAAGGAGCTCTGCTGCAACGGTGTTATTTTTATTTCGTCTCAAATAATTTCCCTGGGTATTCAACCCATATTTAGGGACACCCTTACAACGTTCGGCTCAGGATGAGAGGCGAGATTATCGAAGTTAAGTGGGTAGAAAACATTTACCAGGTAATGCAATTTGGGAAACACAATAATAGCCCCATCTCCTACTATTTCCAGAAACTAGCGTTATTATGTAGTTACATAAAATGTCCAGAATGGTAATGTCCTCACCCAAACGCGCAGAACACAAAGGTAGCTTTTGGATTTCGGGCTCCTGCTTACTCGCAACGACGGAAACAAATCCCAATTATCATTCACATTCTGGAATGTGACGCCGTGCAGTACAGTAACAGATCTAGGATTTTCGAAGGAACTCAATCCCTCCACCTTCAGGGCCGAAGAGTAAGCCAAGCAAGCAGATGTATGAGGAAGTGGCGGTATAGATCCACGCACACTTGACCTCGGCACTAAGCGCAGGTCAATGGTAAGCTTCACGCCTCGGCCTGTTTATTCCCAGGGAGAAAGCCCCCGGTACCCATTGGATTGGAGGCACGTGGGCCCCATAACCAGACTGGACGCTCTATAGAACAGAAAAGTATCTTTCTCTCCCGGGAATTGAACCCCATTTCCTGGGTCGTCCAGCCCATAAGAAGTTGCAATACCGATTCCTGCGTCTTTAAGCAACCCACAAACAGATACACCGTGAAGCTACACAGACTGAATAACGAAGCTGAAGAAGCCCAGCAGTGATTGTTCCCGCGGCAATGCGCAGCAATGTGCGTCGGCTGTCAGTTCAGGGAAGGCCATCATATAGACCGTGAGGGCAAAGCTGTCTAGACCAGTAGTTCGAATTTCTAACAGCATGCTCCAGCTAAATTATCCCTCCTTTTCCGAAACTCAAAAACGTTGCTGTACCCCGGGGTATATATTCTGAAGAGAACGCTGGAAGGGGACCCAGTGAGAACACATCAGAGTGGAGCGTGATCCAAGCAAAACAAACATAAGGCACAAAACACTTCATCTGAACTTACAATCTGAGTTTTTGCATTAGTACAACTTTTTCACCCCTTCCCGCAACAAAATGTTGCAAAAATGCCATGAATGTGTATGCCCATTCACGTGTAGTTTCTCTCACGTCAGCATGCTTCCATTTAGGCTACAACCTGAACCCAATAATGAATGGTATACATAAAGCCCTGCCGATCACAGTGGCCGGGATGTCTAAGGCATGAACTCCGCTCGAGCACTGGGATCGTGCGTTCGAATCCCATTTGAGGCATGAATGTCTGTGTGCGTTTATTCTGTTTGTGCTGTCACGTGTGCAGGTAGCGGCTTTGCGACGGGATGATCCCGCGTATAGGGAGTCCTACAACCTGTGTACAGTATCAAGAAACTGAAAAAGTGGCCCAGGCCCAACTAGGGGCTGTAGAGCCATAGGTAGATATATAAAGACGCGCACCTCGAGCGTAATTCAATAAATATTCAACGAAAACAAAAAATGTTTCCCATACACGCTTTAGAGAAAAATGAAACACAAATCTTATGCCCAATGTATTTTTCGTACAGTTTTCGATGTAATTAAACAAAACGGAAAGAAACGTCCAGATTTACGCTAGGCATATCTTTCCTAATTTTAAGTGTACGCATCCTGGGATGGGATGTCGTGTGTTCTGGTTCTTATGGAGGCAGAACGTTCCTCTAGATCGTCAGTAACGCTCTACCAGATTACACGGTGTCACATCACAGAAAACAGTGATCATCAAGGTCACCGCAGTGATAATCTAAAACTTCGTATTTCCTTATTTTTAGTTCAGTTTCAGTCTATGTATAATTCTAGAACAATTATACGGATTCTACATTACATGTTTCGGCCACTATTTCTAGCCATCATCAGGAGGTGCTTACACTCCCTCTCAACCTTTTCTGCGATCCCCCTCCATCGGTCAATGTTTACAATTGGGGGGGGGGGTTCGGATCATTGTTTACAATGTAGGTCTTTAGTTATACACTTAAATACTGTAAATTATATAAACTTGTGTCCTAGTTTCCCAGAAAGGTATGTGTGATTCACAATATAAGCCTATTTCAATTTTGCATGTCTTAAAAAATTGTTCTTATGTAGCTACGTTGCTTCCTCATTTTCTTTTTACAGAATGTCGTTAAAAAGCCATAAAGCTTGTCAGATCGGTTATTCTTCCACAGAAACGCTTGTGGTTCCATCTGACCCCTTCTCCCCATAGAACCATCAAAATATACAAAAGCTATGCTGGGAAAATTAACAATTTCACAGGACGCTGCTCCAAAAACAAATGTTCCAGATGTGTTCAGGGAATCAATGGACGCGATAAATATGCGTTAAAGGCAGTCGCTTTGAGAAGAGTGGACGAAGGCTGGCGCTCAATTTCTGGCACACCAGTGGCCGAATGGCGTCCCTCTTGCTCCTTGGTGGAAAGCCCGCGCCTACCAGTCGGAGCTATGACAGGGCTCAATTATGGTTCCTATCAGTCGCGTAGTTTGTTGAGGCACTGTTACAAACCGGAAGGTAGTGGGTTCAATTCCCGATGAGGTAACTTGATTTCTCAATTCATCTAACATTTATAGCAGCACTACGGCCCTGGGGTCGACTCAGCCTCTAATAAAAACGAGTACCAGGAATCTTCGTGGGGATAAAGGGCGGCCGGAGTAGAAGGTTGACTACCTCACCGCCATCTGTCTAGAAAATGTGGGAGCCTCGACGCCTCTCAACCCTATTGGTCTCCATGGTCTATTACAGGGTTAGCTTTATCAGTTCAACATGAGGAGGGTTAGTTCGAGTCAGTAAAACAACTGGCAAGAGGTAATAATCAGGGTTCAATTCGGCGCAGATGTACGTCAAGACCGCATCCTGAGTTACAGCAGCCGTAGCGAGTCTAGACAGTTCACCTGCACCTAGCACCTCCACCCCTTCACACGGCGCTTAATGCACCGCAACAGAGCTGTGTCAGGCCCACATTAAGTGACATGGGCTACAGAGCGAAACTAAACTGTGTACTGACACAGAAGAGAGGCAGGAGTGTGGTTTTCTGGTTGCGTCTGCGACCAGTGATGCGGGACTGATAGGCTCCTCCGATCGATGCTGCGCCCTAAGAACTGGGGGGCACGGCGAGGAGCAGTCGATGATGAAATTCACTTTTCAGAACCCAAAGGTTCACCTTCTTTATTCGCAGAAGCCTGCTATTGCAGTGCTTCTTACCCAGAGGGCCCTGCCGGTCCGCTGGGTGGGAAGTAACGTATATATAGATTGGGCCCTTATTTTATGACGCTGTATAGCCCCGGATGGTGGGCTCGAACGATGAATTTGGACAGGCACCCTCGTGGCCTAATTGAGGGGCCATCCCAGTATTTGCCAGGAGGGACTGCGAAAACCATGAAAACCTCTGCTGCACTTACATAATATGGGTCAAAGCCAATCTGTTCGGTGCGTGTGAAGTAAAGCATACAGTTTCACCTGCGTTTACTTCAAAGCATAGTTAAGCTTAGCACTATATGATGTTATCAGATTCACAGTCCAGTCGTTTATTACCAGGGGGAAACCCCCTTTATATTGGATTTATTGGATAAGAAGTTAAACAGATCCCAGAGACAGGGAGAACAATATCTTGTCCTGGCTGGGAATGCGAAAATAGAATGACCATTACAAATTTATATATTAATAAGAATACATGTAACTAGACATGTGAGGCTCTGTTTTTACTATGTTGGCCTACACGTTTTACAAAATGACTAATGGGGGGTGCAAGATGAAAATCACTATGCTACTGGATCCTGCCCTGACACACTCCAGAACAATTAATGAAGCTTCAAACAATACTAATGCCACTTCTCCATCACTAATGTTGGTAAAAAATGTCATTACAGTTCCCACAACTCCCAACACAATCCAAGTCAAAAGATTATGAAAACAGGTACAGTGTAACAATTCTCGCAAGTTCCTTCCCTAAAATTTATAAAGTTCGGTGGACATAAAATGTATTTCATTTTTCTCTATGACTGCCCAGAACATCCTCATTCCAATATATACTCAGCAAGTTTCCTATAAGACGTGCACATAAACACGTAGGTCTTCATGTAAAGTATCTTAAGATAATAACAAAACTCCCCATTATCAAATTTCATGAAAAGTTGTTCAGCGATTCTAGAGGCAAATATGGCGAAGCTAAGCGGAATATTTTTTCATCTTACTGCTTTGAATATTTGGCTGTTAACAGAAGACACGAAGAAAGAGCTGGATGTAAAATGAAATGCTTAGGAATATAAATGACAAAATGGAAGACACTGCACTGAGGCTGGGACGCAAAGTGTTGGTGTGGTACAGACAATACTGAGGGAGAACAAAGATCAAAATAGTACAGTAGACCCAAATTTGAAAATGTACAAGACCACATACAAGGAGTTACATGGGCTTCCTAAGCAAAGGAAGGATACAATCCAAAGGAACGACACACACTGGAACGATGGACAGTTATAGAATTAGGCCCGTGAGAAGGTAATTTCTGACAATAAGAAAAGCCACAAAATCACATGTTTTATTACACAGATCCCATTTTAATTACAAAGTTAAGATATCCAAATGTAATTTGTAGATCCATACACACATGTATCTGATTTTTCACTTGTAAATTTAAATAACTGAAATCAAGACTTAATTAAAAGTCTCCTGGGATGTGACAACATGCAGTATGGTAGTTATGTGCCAACAAATAAGAGGAAATTTCTGCCTTCACTTCAAGGCAGAAGAATGCCCATCCTGAAGCAGCAGTTCCTCCACAACACTAGCATCTACCTATTTTTTTATTGCTAGTGGGAGGAACTAAGTCCCTTGTACTGGGGCCACTTCTGGCCTATTGTACCAGCCCCAGATGATAGGTGAGGGTGATTGCGGAGCAATTGGTGGAATGAAGAATGGCAGGGGAAACCGAAGTACTCTGAGAACTGCCCCAGCGCCACTTTGTCCACTACAAATCCACTTGACCAGACCCGGGATCGAACCCGGGCCACCACGGTGGGTAGCACCTATCTAACTGCATAATGCCACATTCCAGAAGATAGCAAGCTTCATACTCACTGCCCTGACAGCCTAAAATCTCATAAAATTTTAATGAATACCCATGTCTGAAGAGACACAATAAGAACAAACTAAACTGGCAGAAAGCATCAAAAATAAAGGAAATCAGTAAGAAAAATTATGAACTGTCTTTACAAGTCATCAAGTTGGCAAAGAAAAAAGCAAATTCTACGGTGGTTTTGTGGGTAAAACATTTATAGCGTGACAGGTGGATATGAATGTTTTGGAGGAACATTTTACTACCATCTTCAACTACCATGAGGATGACAGTGAATTTTTCCAAAACTTTGCAACTACCTACCAGGCTATATTGTGTCATACACCACAAGACCACAATAAGAAAATTTCAAGTCTTACATAAGCCAGTTCTAAATCACACAGCACACACCATTTGATCTGAGCTTCTTGAGAAGACACCTAAACAGCTAACAGATACAAGACTTCATTCACACTCTAATGTCCCTCACACAACCAACAAAGTAACATCAACACACAAGTCTGTATGAGATGTAGCGGCCAGCTGTTTCTGATGGTCGGATAATTTTCACAACCTGCAAAACATGAAAGCCATTACTGCAAGTCCAAAACATTTCTGAGGGTGGACAATCATCAGATAGTAACATAGATCATTATAAACTTCATTAGAACGTTACAAGATTCAATTTTCAATATACACTGGGACCACATCAGCATAATGGGGATCTTCCTGAATACACGATATTTCTTCCATAAGGGTGTCTATTAAAGGCGTGATGTGCCCTCAGAGATGTTTTAGACACAGTATAATGCCAGTCACACATAACAGCAGACCTCAAATAAGGGCTTGAAGAATTCACGATTCACACAAAATATATCATAGAACTGTATAGAATGTTCCTGCTATGTGAATACATAAAGGATTACATGACACAGTGTTACAGGACTTTTCTGTTGTGTTAGAACTACTATGTCCTTAGAAGGGAGAAATATTTAACTGAAAACGAGGCAAGAACACACAAAGCACAACTGGTTAATCAAATTCCAAGACTGGAACATAAAACACGTGCAAAAGAAATATTAAAGTACAAACTACAGGAGAAAATGGATTTAGAAGGATCTTGAAAAAGATGGACAGATCAGTTACAATCATTCGGAGTCAGAGTGGGTCAAGAGACCTCACCTGTGATGTTGAAGAACAGTCTTGGAAGAGTGATATTTGTTCAGACAAAAACACAGTGAAATAAATTTCAGTTTTATGATGAGGAACCTGCTCCTCCATCTTCAGGAAGGCAGCAAGTTCCTCCAACACACTGGTACCTGCATAGCAGACTACAGTGTGTTACAACCCACAAGACAGTAACTTCAAATTTCATATTTCTATCATTTATCATTTGCTAATTCTTGTTAGACTTTGCATGATTCACTAAGTACACAGAATGTGGTTGAATTGAGCAGGAAACCTCAGAGTTGCAGCAAAAGTTTGAGATGTGAAGAATCAAAATGGCTAATGATAAGGATGAATTAGATGATGAGAAAATTATATTCTAAATCACATTCCCTCTTACAGGCATCTGACAGAAATTGTCTGCACAGCAAAACAAGGACTCAGCTGCAAACAGTGTGTTATTCTCAGCACTTAAAGTGGGAAACCTTACAACCATCTCTGTACTCTTCGACTGTTTCCTGTGATTACATCATCAGATTTAAACTCCATACCACAGCAGAGGCAGATGATCTCTTGACTCTCAGAATGGAGGCCCTAGTTCAATCCTACGGGAATGCACGTGGGAATTGTCATAAAGGAAGTGACACTTGAACAGACTTTTTCTAAGGACTTCTGGTTACCTCTGCCATCCATCACTTTACCAATGCTACATACATCATGATACTTAACAGCCACCATCAGATGTTACAGTACCAAGGACCTCAGACTCACACTCTTCATATCACCCTGAACACCTCCCCCTTTCTCTTTCACTATCACTATGAACAGAAACCCGCAATGTAACAAAAGATAAAGGTAAAAAATGTCCATGTATTTAATTAAGCACCATGCCCTGATGCACAGTGGAGTGGAGGTACAGCTCCATATTGATAACCTTGGCATAGGTGCAGGTCAGTGGCCACCTTTATTCCTTGGTAGCTTCACTCCCAAGAAAAGAGCCCCTAATATCCCTGGATAGGAGGCTGCATAGGCCCCAAAGCCAATCTAGACATTACAGAGACAGGAAAAATCACTCTGCCCTTGAATCAACCCCTAATGTCTATTCATCTGACCCACAGAATAGTCACTTTACTGGCTTAACTATCCTGGCTCCCATGTAAAATATCCAAAGGGAAAATGTAGTCTTGCCAACATTTTTTTCTCTTAAATTCATCATAGTTTCATTAATTTGTAACAACTTACTTGTTGAAACTGACCCCCCCCCAAAAAAAAACTCTCCAGTTTATAATAATTCTCAAAGAGCTGATACTTATTCTACTCTATAAAAATTTCTGTTATAGAAATAATGAAGCTCTAAATATCAGCGCTAAAGTCCAGCACATTGCATTTTGAAATAAAGCAGTGATAGTTACAAAAACCAAGAACAAATTAGCTGTTAGTATGGGCTTAAAAACTCACAACCATAACTCAGTTCTTTTTGTTTTACCTGGCCTCGACGAAGGCCAAAATAGCGACAGATTGGATCACTGGTTTGAATTCGTGGAAGATGATTCTCTTTCAGATTGCTTTAAAAATTAAGGTAAACAGTGCACAATTAACAAAGTGGAACTGATTTTTTTTAAATACAGCAAAATCCATAATAAGGCTTCCTTGTGGGAGTGATGATAAGAATGAAATGTGTAAATACCAGATCGCAGCATAGAAGTTGAAATCTATGAGAATACCTTAAATTACAGACCATTAAATTGAGATATCTCTATAACATCATACCTTTCCTTCTGCAAATTTTTTAAAGCAAACATTACATTTGGTTGGTTTCTTCTCACATGCACAAGCCTACCTAAGTCTGGAGGGGAAGTGCTTAAAGAATATTCTGATTCATAAATGTAAGACAGTAAGCCCAGTTTATCACTACACAACTTCTCATTGATGGGCTGCATAACTCAAAATCACAAAATTACAGAAAGAACAAAATTTTAGTTATTCAATCATTCAATCCAAAGGTTCATCAGCAAAAGCAAAAATGATCAACATTAGCCTCTGC